AACGTTTCGAAACAGGTATGATGTAATGAAGCCTCATTTAATGCGCTCCGATACACTGTTTCTAAACAAATGATTCACAAAGGTTTCAAAGCGTCGTGAAGCAGTGTTCCAGAAGCGACCATCACTATTTCATGTTTCTCAGGCAAACAAAGCTTCAGGATCAGAGAGCAAATCAAGCTGCGATACAGTGCTTCAGTGTGAAATGTGTGGTTTATTTGACACAAGCGTCAGTGTCTAACATATCACTAATACATAAAACATACATGAACTCAAAAGATCCAGTGTTTACATCATTTCTTAACAGCACACACTAGACAACGTGATGAAGAGGATTGAACTGTTGGAGAATGAACTGGTGTGAGATCAGCGGTGGAGCGAAAACATCGAGATCTGTGTCTCACATCCTAATGACATTTATCCCAAATTATTGTACTGCATAGTTAACAGCATAATCCATTTTCTGTATGACTGTACATGTTTGAAGTAAAAAAAAAAGACTGAAAACTGTAAAAGTTTCATTCATAGTGCATTAAAACTCCACAGAGCATCACCACTCGGATCCTGCAGATGTACTGAACTTGTAATGAGGACGTCTCTGGGGTCTTCTGGACCGTGAAACAGAGACATTATTTATCTGACACTCGATGTGCTCCTGATGGCGTCATCCACCTGCATGGGGAAAGAACATGGTTTTAAGCCTGCTTTACCATAGTAAATCCAGTAAACCTGTTGTTTTTTGTTATAACAGTGCTTTCCGCCGACCTGGTGGTCAAAGATCCACAACACTGCAGTTATCTGAAACACTTGACTGGGTTCCGTCATCAGCTCCATGATCTGAACTAATCGTTAGATTAGAGGAGACCGTGTAAACAGTGGGGCTTCTGCAGCTGGAGTCTGCATGTTTAGAGGCAGGTGTGAACAGATGAAGCACAGGCTGATCTGTGAGTCTCTACTGGTGTCCATCTAGTGAACATATAGCCCTGATCAGACCACTGACAGGCCCGACAGGCGAGAACGGTTCACCACACAGCACTGACGGGAATAAATCAACTGCTTTCTGTTGCTCTTCACTTACGAGCCTGATCCTGATCAGACAGCCTTCACTAAAGACAGACGGAGGGGAACGTCTCTGTGAGAAAGCAGAACTAAAGTTATCCGTTTGAATGGGAAATTTTAGGAAAAAATATTTACATGAATGTAACACTTAAGATTGCATTAAACCAGCAGCAGCACCAAAACCATCAGAGTAAACAATACATTAATAATATGCAAGTAACCCATCCACATCTGCTGCTTCTGAAGATAAACAAAACAAAAACAAATTCAGAGGGAAAACCCATGCTTTAAAACAGACAAACATGCCTACTGTCCGCCAGGCTTCAGCAGCTGAGCTCTTCTTCTGGATTCTGGGCTGTCGCTCCTCAGGCGCTTTACTGCCACCTTCTGCAGAACCAGAGGCCGGAGAACCAGCTCTCTGCAGAACCAGAGGCCGGAGAACCAGCTCTCTGCAGAACCAGAGGCCAGAGAACTAGCTCTCTGCAGAACCAGAGGCCAGAGAACCAGAGCCCAGAGAACCAGCTCTCTGCAGAACCAGAGGCCAGAGAACCAGAGCCCAGAGAACCAGCACTCCAGAGCACCAGCTCTCTGCAGAACCAGAGGCCAGAGAACCAGCTCTCTGCAGAACCAGAGGCCAGAGAACCAGAGGCCGGAGAACCAGCTCTCTGCAGAACCAGAGTAAGCGTTTTCAAACTGCTGGGTGTTTCTAAATCATGCAGTGAAAATCATGCCCTTTACAAAAGAACTACAGATTACTTGGCAATATATACAGTAGAGTTGATGCTATAATTGCTGCCCTGTACTGGACAGAAGAAAGTAATTATATGTTCAGATTCCAGTTCACCATTGATTTCAATTAACTCAATATCATCAAAGAATAGGCAGGATTGCATATATGAGATTCATCCAATCTTATTTAGACCGCAGAGAGTAAATGTGAGGATAGTATTCATGTGTATTCCAGCACACATGGCAAGTAAAGGCAACGAGGTTGCAGAAGTTTTAGCTAAGGAGGCATGTAAACTAGATGAGATTATGGAATCCTATATAAGAAATCATGAGCAAAAGTAGTAGTTAAGAATAGTATAAGAAAGCAATGTCAATATAACTGGGATAGGGAAGTAACAGGTAGACATTACTGTAGAATCCAGGAGAAAGTAGGAGGGTTTGTAAAGCAAATAAGAAAATAGAAAGTATAATTACACGATTGAGAATGGGACACAGGGTTAAATAAAACATTACATCTAATAAGGAAACTGTCTGATGTGATCATTGTTAAGAGGAGGAATCAGAGGAACACACACTACGTCACTGACAAAAGTACATCACAGAAAGAGAGCTGGTAAAGAAAGAAATTAGGAAACAAAGTTCTATTGAAATTAGCATTAAAGATATACTTATTGGTCATAACAATTAAAGTTTATTAAATGATCTGACAAAAACTGGCTTAATTAACAGAATTTAAAAGTGTTTTTGTTGTTGTCATCTTTATTATTATTATTATTATTATCTGGGAGGTAGTTGACTCCAGTATAGTAGCTGGCAGTAATGCACCTTAACGTTGGATGCCGACCGCCATTAAAACAAGAAAGAAGAAGATGATGATGATGGCCCTGTCCCAAATGGCACCCTGAACCCTCACGCTCTTCTGCCTGGTCTTGTGCTACACACACTTGTGGTCTTGGCCACTTGAGAGCGCGTGCGCAAGACTGTCGCAGCTCTTAAAACCGGAAAAAAAGGGTAATGCCCTTAAAGCACACTAAACCCACACTATCTCCAGTACTGCTCCGGAGCGCTATTCCAGGATTAGTGTATCCCATCATGCATCATGTTCTGGAAATAAATAGGCTTTGGATTCACCAGTGATCACCGCGAGATGCATGCTGGTTAGAAAAGTGTCCGAGTTACGTCCGACTTGCTTTGATGTCACGCTGACGTGTGCCAAAAAACCCTCGCGACTGCGCTGATGTAAAGCATGATGGGAAACGACTGGCTGAAGACACAGCTTAATGCTCATTGGTTCAGACAACCGTGATGCTGCGTTCTCTTCTAAAATGTTTTATTTCTTTATCTGATTTCATGTGATTATGTATTTAAATCATGCATGAATGTTCCCAAACACGATGACAGCGCGATCTCTGTGAGATATGTGATTGTTGTCATATTTCTATAAAAATCTAAAATACATGTTTGTATTAAAGTACAAATGGATGATAAATACACCTTTCGTATGGAATTAAATAGCAAGCACTTTGAGTGTCTTGTTCATCATAGTTTTTTATATAAAAGCAACAGAACTGAAATCATATCATGTTAATCAGCAGCACAGCACGTGAGTGAGAATTACGCTCGTAGGTATCTTTTTTATTATTATTATTATTATGCCATACATCCGAACAATACAACGAGAAACATTCAAATGTAAAGGAAAAATTGAAAAAGATGAACAACATTGTTCAACTATGAACATTGAGACGCAGGGCAAGTCTGGGTATTTGGACAAGGCATTCCTCTGAGTCCGCACTTTCGTGACGTAACGCCGCTTTGACTGTCGGGTAGAAGTCTGCAGTGTGGTCTCGGCAGAAGTGCAGACCGAGGGCACCCTTCTGAACGCTATGGGACACCCTACGGTCTCGTGGACTTAACGGACACGCGCACGCAAGACCAAAAGTGCACATGAAGTGTTCCATTTAGGACAGGGCCGATGATGCCCTTTAGCTGACCCCACCCCTAAACTGTGATGTGAGCCAATCAGGTGACATGGTCGAGAACGCCCCTTTCACTGATCTGGTGACTCTCATTACTTTCCAGAGCAAGCAGGGGTGTATTCCTGGAAGGAGGTTCAACAAACTCTGAGTTGACTTACCCTGAGATGGGAAACTCTGAGTTTCAAGCAAACCCCGCTTTCTGGAATACACCGCAGGTGACTGTCATGCTCAGTCAGCACTAACAGGTGTAGTGTGTAAAACCAGGTATATGGTGAATGAACATCAAAAACTGAAGGCTGCAGTAAAACCCCACAGGACTGTTCTACAGCAGAGGCGCGCTCTCTGGAGGACTTCAGGTTTTACTTCCAACCCTCATCAAATACCTGCCTGTGATTTTCAAGCAGTACTGAAGACTTGGATTACATTGTTCAGATGTATATCATTAGGGTTGAAACTAAACTTATTAAAAGTCCCTGTGAGAGCTGAGAGGAGAAACAAAAATGTGAAAGAATATATCAAAACCCATTGTTTGTTTTGGTTTATTAGCTATTAATTGTCCATAGTTAATTGTAAATTAAAGTATGCATTATATTTATGCTTATAGATGCTTTTATCTAAAGTGCAGGGATTGGTTGTGTTTAGCTATGTTTCCATCCACCTATTTTTATGCACATTTTGGATTATCGCATAAAAACGCTGGATGGAAACGTCTAAAAATGCGCATAAAATTTTAGTTTAGTTTGAGTAGGATACACTTTTTATCCAATAAGAAAGAAACCGCATGAAACACATTTACCGAATAAATTCACCTTTATACCAATCACCTGATCTCGTCCTCAGCGTCTATATGTTGTTCTGAAAAGCCTGAGCAAAGTCTGTCAAAGTATTTCTGTATAATTGCCGTCTCACACACAGCTGGAGTGTTCCCAAACAGCTGGTTCGCGTGTGCTGTGTGTCTGCTCGCTCTGAGGCGCTAGTCATATTTGAGAATGATTATATTCAGTGGCTTCTCCTAGTTTCTCAGGGATGTTTAGTGCCAGTTTACCAGGAAATGACTATTTTGTTCTCTTTGACTCGTTGGATGGAAATTTATGCGATATTCCAGTTTTGCGCACGAGTTTAATTCGAATCTTTGGATGGAAACATAGTGTGTATAGGTTTCCTTGGAATTTACAGCCTTATGTCGAACTACACTAAAATTCCCTTATGAGGCTCTATATTCTTCCAGATTCCCGCTCATCAGCTGCTGTAGTTTCTAATATGCATGTGTTTCAGATGATTATTCAGATGTGGGCACGGAGAGCGCATGCGCGTCTCAAACAGGAGCACATGCGGCATATTCAGCGCTTAGAACTGAAGAGAGGAGCAACTGCAGGAGGTTTTGCGTGCACACAGAGCTGGAGTGGTTTGGTCAGGATGGGCTGCTCATCGTCCAGCACACAGACGCTCGCGCAGGAGAACCCACCGCGCGTCAAAGCGGAGGAGGCGAGCGGAGAAACTCTGCGTAAGTCATTTCAGAAACATCGCTATTAAACTAAAGCAGTTTGGTAAAAGCTTGGCCTGATGATATTACCAAACCTGTGCATGAATTAACTGACAGTGCCAAACACAAAAGAATCATTTTTACTAATCCTAACACATTTAGTCAGAGATGACATCTTTTCATTAATAATATTTATGGGCGATCTTTAATTATTGCAACTGATATCCTGCATGTGCAAGGTTATGTTTGTGTCTGTCCAGCTGTTGTGATGAGTTTGTGCCGTGGGGTCCCTGAACAGATGATGGATATGAGGACAGACAGCTCAAACCCGGGCTAGGACACATGCAGCCCCGGGCTCTGCTCAGACCAGTCCGCTGTGTTTCCAGATCACTTTCACATCGGTGCTCCCATTCAGCTCAGAGAGACTCGCTCGTGAGATGTAGTGCTTGCTGTACATTTATCTGAACACTGTCTGCATCATGATGCCATTTCCAGCGGTTTACCGCATGTTTCTATGGGCTGTTTTCTCCTTTCTCTGATAGGTTTGTGTCGTTGTGCAAAATTCACACTCTATAAAAACTGACACAAAGTCTCACACGGAGGAATACTGTCCATTGATTTGAGAAAACAGCTGAGACGATCACAGAATTCATTTCACATGTTCTGTTCCACACCAGATCCAGCTCTGGGTTTCAGGAGCGGCACAACTCCGAAAACTCCAGCGTGATGCAAACACACACACCTCAGGCTCTGACGGTGTGTGTGTGTGTGTGTGTGTGAGAGAGAGAGAGAGAGAGATCCTCATGTTTGAGTTCAGGAACACTGCTTGGCTCATGTTCAGATGTGTGGTTTTGGAGGAGAGGGTTTGGGGTTAGTGTAGGCATTAAGCAAGACAAGAAGGTTCATTTAGCATGGATTAAAATGCATCATGAGGGAAAACAAGAATGAAAGGGCATCATATAATACAGCACCTGTTGAGAGGGATTTGATGGACTAGCGAGGAACGCAGTCAGACTGATGATGTTGAATGCTGCATGTTTTTGTGTTCGAGCGTCTCCGGAGGCTCTGCTGCTGATGATAAAGTCTCCACATGGACAGAGAAGGGCATATTGTTGAGTGTGAGTCTGTTCACTGTTTGCTCTGGAGGTTGTTTCTCCTCCGTGTCGCTGACCATCAGGAAATTACTTTTTCATCGCAGCATTTGAGGAAATGAGCTCCGAGTCTGAACAGAGCAACACCTCCAGGTGTGTGTGCAGGAGTGTGTGTGTGTGTGATTTGACACGCATTGTTCCATCACACACAATATAAAACCCGGCTTATAAACTGAATTGCTGAAATTGCTTGAGTTTTTGTAGATGGAGATGGTTTCCTCATGCAGCTTTCAGCTCTCACACAGCTGAGTGGAGAATGAGTGTGTCCGTGGACTGGACTGCAGGATGCTCTTCTCTCTCTGTCAGCCTAGAATCAGTGTGCCTCAGATCGCTGGTTCTGGCTCAGTGCCGAGTTTCAAACCTGATCCACCAGTCTAGACTCGAAATCTCAATATCGCTCTGTAATATAATGATTTATTGGAAGTTATTTGCGTTTCCAGAGTTAGGAATGGTGTTCTGGTATTCAGTATGCAAATAAAACGGTGACATCATCGCTGTTGGTTAGATTGTGAATGCTGTTATAAGTGTGTCTTTCAAACTCCTCGTTTATTAAAGATTATAAAAAAAACAAATAGAAAGCACATACCTAAGAAGTAATTTTGTCCTGAAATGAGCTGAATGAAATGTGTGTGATGTACATGAAGCATTTACAGTGTGAAGAAGATAGGGGACCGTAGACGCTCGACATGCTGCTATTCTGAGTGTTTCTGCTGGTCTCCATGAGAGCATCTTCCCTGATGCTTCGTTAGTGTTTGTGGAAAGATAAATATTAACCATTTCAGTGAGGCAGGAATGTGTGTTTTTAATTATTTACTCATTGCTATAGTACTGTTTCTGAGTTCAGCTAAAGCGCTACCGATCATTAAACATGTCAGTGCTTGCTGATTTGTTTGTGTGTGTGTGTCTCTCTCTCTTTGTGTGTGTGTGTGTGTGAGAGAGTGAGTGTGTCTGTGTCTCTCTGTGTCTGTGTGTGTGTGTGTGTCTGTGTCTCTCTTTGTGTGTGTGTGTGTCTGTGTCTGTGTGTGTGTCTGTGTCTCTCTCTCTGTATGTGTGTGTGTGTGTATATAGATGGTGAATTACACACAGCTGCACTTCTGCTTGACAAACTCATGTCGTGACGAGAATGCTAAAAAATCCTCCAATCAAACTGAAACATTTTTCAAGGGAAAAAAATACCTGGGATGTGCTTAGCATTTTGCTGTACAGACTACAAACAATGGATTTAACTCTGATATGATTTTTGCTACCTGAATGAAGACAAGCACGTCTATAGTTACTCAGGGGTTTGATGAAAAAATGAATAATTTGGTTAAGAAGCATCTTCAGTTTATGGCCTGAGCTTATATCTTTTAAGATACTGCTTTAGGCACATTTTACAGAGTAGGTCAAGGAAACGGAGAACTCTTTAGCTTATTTATGTTGAGAAACCAAAAGAAATAATTTATTCTGATGACAGACAGTTGTGTTTGCATGTGTAATGCATGTAAATAAACTTTATTTCCTCTCTGCTTGTGTTTTTTGCCAGTCTCTCGTAATGGGCTTGTAGCAGAAGACAGCGAGACCGTCTCGGATCAGATGCAGCTGCCAGTTCAAAGCACTCTGCCGGATGAGCTGGGTCCCGGACCGGACGAGACGGTGGAGGCCTCAGAAGCAGAGCAGACAACGGTCAGCGCTAATGATGCTCCTCTAGAGGAGAGAGATGCAGATGATGGTCCCGCTGCTTCAGAACCCACTGACTCCACGCCTGCAGAACCCTCTCTAGCTGTGGAACCTGCATCAGATCTCACCAGCACTCCAGAACCCAAGCCAGCTGAGCTAACAGAAGCTCCAGAGGCCCCATCAGACACGAGCTCGGAGCCCACACTGGAGCAAGCAGACACAGCTCCTGAAGCGAAGCCAACCGCAGCTCAAGAACCAGGTCCAGTGGAGCAAAGCCCTGCTCCAGAACTCACTGTGTCTGAGCCTGTCCCGAGTGCAGAACCAGCTGCTGCTGAGGAACAAACTGTGTCTCCAGAACCAGCTGCAGTGGAACCAAGCCCAGCTCTAGAATCAGCTCTGGCTCCAGAACCCTTGGCGGAGGAACCAAGTTCAGCTCCAGAACCCTCGGCTGAGGAACCAAGCCCAGCTCCAGAATCAGCTCTGGCTCCAAAACCCTCGGCTGAGGAACCCAGTTTAGCTCCAGAACCAGCTGCTGTGGAACCAAGCCCAGCTCCAGAATCAGCTCCGGCTCCAGAACCCTCGGCTGAGGAACCGACTGTGTCTCCAGAACCAGCTGCAGTGGAACCGAGCCCAGCTCCAGAATCAGCTCCGGCTCCAGAACCCTCGGCTGAGGAACCAAGCCCAGCTCCAGAATCAGCTCTGGCTCCAAAACCCTCGGCTGAGGAACCCAGTTTAGCTCCAGAACCAGCTGCTGTGGAACCAAGCCCAGCTCCAGAATCAGCTCCGGCTCCAGAACCCTCGGCTGAGGAACCAAGTTCAGCTCCAGAACCAGATGCTGAGGAACCGAGTTCAGCTTCAGAGCCAGCTGCAGTGGAACCGAGCCCAGCTCCAGAATCCGCTCTGGCTCCAGAACCCTCGGCTGAGGAACCGAGTTCAGCTCCAGAACCCTTGACTGAGGAGCCGAGTTCAGCTCCAGAACCCTCGGCTGAGGAACCGACTGTGTCTCCAGAACCAGCTGCAGTGGAACCGAGCCCAGCTCCAGAATCCGCTCTGGCTCCAGAACCCTCGGCTGAGGAACCGAGTTCAGCTCCAGAACCCTTGACTGAGGAGCCGAGTTCAGCTCCAGAACCCTCGGCTGAGGAACCGACTGTGTCTCCAGAACCAGCTGCAGTGGAACCGAGCCCAGCTCCAGAATCAGCTCCGGCTCCAGAGCCCACGGTTGAGGAACCAAGCCCAGCTCCAGAACCCTCGGCAGAGGCAGCAGCGATCACACAGTCTGCAGAGGAGAACGCGACCTGCGCAGACGCTCCAGAGGGTAACGCATGGGAACATGGGCAGATCAGCTCTAGAAATCCAGAAATGAGCACTGATTACATCTGCAAGCAGCAACAAGCTCTGTTTTAAATGATGTTTCTGATCACTTTGGATCAAAGCCTCAGATTACAGGATGCTTGAGCAGTAAAATAAAGCTCTGGTCACTACACATACTGTAGTAAGGCAGTGCATAACCAGTGCTGGGTAACAGAACAGAGATTGTTGAGTAGAGTTCACTGCAGTCTAGACAAAGACAAAGTCTAGACACAGAACATGTCACCGTTCTCTTCACATCTGCACTGTGTACAACAGCCTCTTGCTGACGCTTTGTCGCTCTTTGTGTCGAGCCAAAAGCCACAATAATCTTGTGCTCTGTTGCCTCAGATTATGTCAGATGAGCGCTCGCATGTCCTGCGATGACGGCAGCGGTTCGTGACACACGGCGCTGGGCTGTGCTTAATACAAGCTGTAATGATAATCAGTATTGATACTTCTATTCTGATACAACCATTTATTTAAAATATGAGCGAATGTGCAGGCATGTGTGAGAGTGAGACTGAATTCAATGTGCTGTTCTCTGATTTATTCAGCATCAGCATTTTAACGCTCGCACACATCCTGACAAACACGACATGTAGGACAACAAGCGTAGTGCAGCTAAAGCTCTCCGACCAAGCGTCTCTGTGAAACACCAGGTATGGTCAGTGTAGCAGGTTCATTTACAGAGATGGACAGGCGAATGTCACCGACTTCTTAAAGATCTGACTGAAGGTCTGAAGATTATTGACCGTTCAGAACACATGTAGTGTCCCAGAGATGCAGTATGGTGCATATTTATATTCCAGTTTATGATAATATAATATAAAATAAAGGAAAACAAGTATAAAACAGCAAAGCATGCCATGATCTGAATGGTTTCTGCAGCTCATGTGCTGATGAATTCACAGACGAATACTGTGCTGTTCACAGACAGAAATATCAGCAGCACGTTTCTTGTGTGTGTCCGCAGGGGTCAGAGGTCAAACTACACTGCAGCCAATGATTTCTGCTAAAAATATCTGGAGATGAGTGAGAAAATGCATCTCTTGTGTGAATCATGAGCATATGTAAAGTCATTAATATGGTATAGAAGCGGTTTTCTTATTACAGAAGGGAGTTTTGTGGCTCTCATTTGTATGTCAGGATACTGTTTTGTTTGAATGAAATGAACACAAGCTTTCATGATAACCTTTGTTTTTGTTTTTCCGTAGTCGGTGAAGATGGAGCTGATCTGCTGAAATCCACAGAACCTGAAGATTGATGTCAGTGTGACGCTGTGAGACGTGCCTTTTATCTCAGAGACGTGAGGGTTTGTACATAAATTAGTGTTTCTAAGTAGCGTTAGAATCATTAGCATTGTTGTTAAAAGCCACAGAAATGCCTCTGAGAGCGCGGGTCCCGTGGGTGTCCGGCCGAGCGTGGGACGAAATCACAGCATCGTGTCCTCATCTCCAACTGAGTCAAACACAACAGCAATATTAACTCACCTGAACAAACCAAAGCTCTAATAACTGTGAATCAACCAAATTATGCTGCTTAATGTGTCTTTTAATGAGACAGAAGGGCTTCGTCTCTTATGTATTTAGTGCATGTTGCTCCTCAGACTGCAGATGCAAAGCAGTTTGACTCTTTACTTGCATTAATCAATGACAGACAGGCAAACGGTAGTATATTAATCAGCAGTGTATGTTGTTGGGTTATTTTAGTACAGTTTGTAGTGATTCCAGAGCACTAATAAACCTCATCTGATGATCTGTGACACTGGAAGGAAAGCAGTTACTCAGCGAATCATATCAGTGTGAAGACATGAAAGTTGAGCTCTTTGTTAAAAAAAACACAAAAAAAACAAGCTTTTAATGAACTGACATGATCTCTGCACATCTCCTGTATGTCTTTTTTACATTTATATGTGCACAGAATAAATACGGTTACCGTTACTAATAAAATCATTTTGTAGTGATTTCTCTTTTATAATCAGCGTGTGGTTGTCTGGGGTCTTAAATACTGGAGAACATTGCAGCTGATCTCACCAGTGAGAACCACACAGAACATAGTCGACTCGACTGTATCACACACACCTCTCACACACACACTCTGTCTCTCTCACACACACACACACTGTCTCTCACACACACTCACACACACACAGTCTCACTCACACACACACACTGTCTCACACACACTCTGTCTCTCACACACACTGTTTCTCACACACACACACTGTCTCACTCACACACACACACACTCTGTCTCACACACACACTCTGTCTCTCTCACACACACACACACT